TAACTTGATCTCGAGAATGTAAATGGGAACAATAATGAGTATATCATACAATTACCTTATTAATGTTTGACTTTATTTTCACTTTTGTTAATTTAGTAATGAAAGTTTTCATCAGATTTAAATATGTTCAATCTTTTTAACTTACAATAAGAAAATTTGTATTCTAAGATGAATATAAGTCCATTCAAAATTTTCTTTTATGTAAGATTAATCAATCAAAGAAAAATAAAAGATTTTCTATTTAAATAAGAAATTCTTTTTGGAGGGTGGACGTAGGTTTTTCTGGTGTCCTACATAGTTAAATCTATTATTTATCATTCTTAAATTTTCAAATAAATATAATAATTTATATGAAATCATTTTTATCTAATAAGATTTCAAATAATTAATTGGATCTTGAATAATTCTCATTATTATTGAATAAAATAATAACAATATTTATAAAAATTGTGTAGTTAATCAATTTAATAATATTTTATTTTTAAACAATAACATTAAATCCTTCGTTGATACAAAATTCATGTTTTAGATATTTGGACTTTTGGTTTTATTCAAATTATTACCAATGTTTACAATTCTACAAAATAGTAAACCATATTTATCTATTCATGAATTCTTCTTACCATGAAATTTATATAAATAATACTATTTTAATTTCTTCATAGAAATAATTCATCTAAAAAACATTTTCATATTTTCAAAAAAAAGACATTTTTCCACAGCTGAACGTATTGTGGGTGTGGATGTGGGTGTGAGTATTGTATTCTTTATACACACACCCACACCCTCAAGATGGTTTATTCATTGATAAAATAAAAATAATAAAACTGAACACATAGATTCTTTTTTATAACAACACAAAATGACTCTTTCATCATACGAATATCAGCAGGGATTACTGGCTAAAAGTAGGATTTCACCCAGTATTTTCGCCCAAGTACCAGAAAACTGCTTGATGACCGCCATCGTAACCTACACCATTCTATGCAGAATTTGATTCTGCACATTACTTAAGTTTCCACAAAATTTACTCAAGTCCCTGGGCGAATGTCAGCAAGGGATACTCGAATCCGCTGATAACTTTTGTCACGTTCAATTTCTCATAGTGATGAAATTACTTGTTCGAAGGAAGAGAATGGAAAAAATGATGTTATTGTTTAGAATACGATAAAAGTATTTATTTTTATAGAGTTGCTGTTCTCATTCTTCAAAGATATTGTAAAGTGTTGCTGTCTATTTCTTTTATGAATCGAGACAACAATATATATGTTCTCTCTTAAGTTAATTCTAAGCAAAAATTTTTTTTTATTAATCCTTCTGTTATCAAATTATCAATGTTACTAACGCATGTAATCATTTTACATGAAACAGTTTTGTGTTTCGTTTCAAATTTGATTTGATGTGTTCTACGAAAGAGGATGGGTGTGGGTGTCAGTCTTCTCTTTACCGATACACCCACACCCGAACTAAACCAGCGGCATCTCTGAGCTAAAAGCGTTTTTTACTCGTGTACAAATAATGATGCGACCTTAACAAAAGTGAGTCTTTTCTTTTTCACGAATAGATAGTGAGAAACGATATATGACTGTAACCAATGCTGTGTATAAAATCAGAGATGGGCAAGTCAGACGTTTTCACAAGTCAAGTCAAGTCAAGTCAAGTCAAGTCATGTTTCAAGTCAAAACTTATTATAGAAAATCCTTCTATTGAATAAAACTTTGGAATACAAATTTCCGGTTACTTAGAGTTAGTTTTTAGCAAAACTCTCATTTTTAACTATATTTATCTTTTACATTCTGATTCTGTAATAAGACTAGTAAAATACCAAAAAAAAGTATATTGAAACCTCTTCATATATGCTTTTTGACTTGACTTGAGTTTATGGCTTAATCTCAAGTCAAGTCAAGTCAAGTCATATATGTTTCAAGTCAAGTCAAGTCAAGTCAAGTCCAAAAGTGACTTGACTTGCCCATCTCTGTATAAAATTGTAAAGATAAGCGAGCAGTATATGAAAATCAAAGCAATAAAAAAAGACTTTTTACAACGGATGAGGCAATAAGGGGTAGTTTCTTTGTGTGTTTCAATAACAAAGTCCACACACAGAGACAAAGAAAAAAGTAAGCAACAACGCACAAGGCTCCGTGAAAAGTATGAACCTGTTTTTTCATCACAAAAGATTATGAGAATAACTATATCTTCGGGCAATGTCTCGGATCATGATATAATTATTTGGACGATGCGTCCATCAGATTTGTACACCAGGCAATACAGATTTCCAATTACAATTGAACCAAAGAAGACAGTGGAGATAAGCACTCAAAGCTATCCCTTTCTTCGTTTTCATAATACACTATGGAATTGTTTCGTCATGTCCATATCTAAATTTATAAGACCAGTGTTTAGCCTTCAACACCAGCACAAGCAGACAGAGCGTTGATGGGTGTCGGTGTAGATGTGTAAGGGTGTCCGTGTATCGGTTGAGGATGTGGGTGACTGGGTGCGGGTATTATCTTTTTCATAGCTGGCAGCCACGCCCACACCCTTCACGAACTACTACAGTGAGTTTAATGCGATTTTTTCCAAGACATCAGCTTAGATATCTCGTGTAGACACTCGTCAGATTCGATCTAAAAGATAAAGAAAAGGCACGATATTTGGCTGATATATTTGCAAACAATGAGGAGAATGTTAATCTAGGCTTTTCTTAGAAGTTGACATCTTTCTCTTTTTTTACATAGACTCTCACGACATTGAATCTCGAAAATGATAATATTGGTACTGAAGGAACTGAACATCTGGCTGATGCGTTTCAAAATAATCGAGTTAATTTCAGTATTTAGTATCTATTTTATTTTCATATTCAGACACTTACTGCACTTAATCTTGCTAGCAATGAAATTAACGATGCATGAATTCAACATTTGACTAAGATTCTTAAAAATAATAATGTGTGAGCGTGTAGCTCGAAGTGACTGACTCGAGATGTGAAGCTGGAGATATGATGATGGTGATGATTTATTGAAAATAAAACAGCACTATATATAGTACAGCGCAACAAAGGTGGAGCTGGACAACGATCATCCAGCTTCACAAAGGAAAAAATGACGCAATGAAAGAGATGATGAAATGGAAAAAAAGAAAAGATGATGAAATGAACATGAGAAAGAAAAGATGATGAAATGAACATGAGAAAGAAAAGATGATGAAATGACAGATGTGGATGGCTCACATATGTGAACATATGTAAAAGGAACAAAGACATATGTACACATATGTGAGAAGAACAGAAAAAAAAGAAATGATATATATGTGGAGAGAGAAAAGAAAAAAAGAAAACGGCGAGACATGTGGATGAACGAGAGGATGATATATATCATCCTCTAACATAATGTAATTTTCATTTCTTCTTTATCTTTCTATCGTTAATATTCTATATAGGCACTCACTATATTCAATTTGGCTAATAATAATATCGGTGCTGAAGGAGTTGAATATTTATCTCAGATTCTTCAAAATAATACCGTTAGTTGTAATCTCTTTTCTATATTTGTTATTGTCTCACTATTCTTCCATTTAGACATTAAAAACACTCGATCTCTCTAGAAATATAATCGGCATCAGTGGAGCAGAACATTTAGCCAAGACACTGGAAAATAACAACGTAAATCTCAGTTTTTTTCTGCCTTCTTTATTTTTAACATTATTGTTATTTCTTATAGATACTAACAGAACTTGACTTGACTGGCAATATAGCATCAAAAATGAAGGGACCCAGTATCTGGCTAAAGCTCTTGAGAATAATAAAGTAAATCTCAATGTGTATTTGTCATTTGTATTACCTCAAGATCATTTAGACATTAATCACAATGAATCTTAGCAGCAATAAAATCGGCGCCGAAGGAATCGAAGAATTCGCTAATTTTCTTCGAAATAATACCGTGAGTTTTAGACTCAATATAATTTGCACATTTATATCTTAATTTTCTTTCATAGTCACCTGTTAAACTTAATCTTGATGATAATGAACTCGGTATTGACGGTACGAAGTATTTGGCTAGTTCGATTCAAGATAACAATGTGAGTTTCGAATTTTGTCAATCTTTTTTATCTATATTTCGACTTTCTCATGCTGAAACTGGCCACACTCAGACTCTCTCTCAATAAGATAAATATCGAACCAACTCAACATTTAGCTGGTGTTCTACGAAATGCCAAGGTGAATCTCGGTTTTTCGTGTTTATATCATTACTTTTTCGTATAGATGTTCACTACACTCGTTCTTTCCGGCAATATGATTGGAGATGAAGGTGTCGGATACTTAGCTAATGCTCTACGAAACAATATGGTTATTGTTAATCTTTCTTTTGTTTTTCTCGTTATAAATTGGTTGTTTTTCATAGACGGTTATCGAACTTAATCTTGAGGGTAATGAAATCGGAGATCAAGGTATACAAGATCTGACTGATGCTTTTAGAAATAATACAGTAGACTTCGATGTCTCTTTTTCCATGTATATCTTGGCTTTTCATGTAGACACTTGCAACTTTAATTCTCGATGGTAATAAAATCAAACAGCAAGGTGCTCAATATTTAGCTGCTGCTTTTGGAAATAATAAGGTGAATATATTTTCTCTCTATTTTATTTTACTTTTCTACACCTTGAATTTCTAATACACACACTCACTTTTCTTGATGTCGCTGGTAATTATATCGGTGATCAAGGTGCACAAGATCTTGCTGCTGCTTTTCGAAATAACACGGTAAAGATTGCTCTCATTTTTTTTCTCTCTCATAGACACTCACCACACTTGATCTACGACGTAATGAAATCGAAAAGACAACTAAGCGTTATGTAATGCAAACTTTGCGAAAAAATACTGGATTGAAATTATTTTTGAAGGATGACACGTAAAAATTGTTATTAATCTTTACTAAATCTATTTTTATTGGACATTCTATTTTCAATT